TCTGCACAGAGTTTATGAAGGGTCTACTTAGTAGGATAGTTGAAAGTCTTCCATACTATAGGACTGGGCCAATAGTGCCAAGCGACAAAGTTGTCGCTAATTCACTAGCGCGCTGCTAGCGCGAAATACTACTTGCACAATATATCAAATAACAAAGCATTCCAACATAGTATACAAACCCGTATACTATATAAGGATATATCTTGTTATTCTAACGCCAAATTATCGCTAATCTAGCGCGACAAGGGAGATTCACTTGCTCATCCTCGGGGCATCGCCTCATACCAAAGAGTAAAAAACATGCTGCAAAAATAATTATGGCCACCTTATATAAAATTCTTAACCGCTCTTTTAGATAACCTCCCATTTCTTCAAATTAATAATATTTAACAAATCACTCATACCACTCCCAAATAATCGATAAAGACTAAATGTCTACGAATATCAAACCAATAATCCAAAGAAATAAGAATACGAATTTCATCCCAATTAGAATAAATCGAAGAAAAAAAAGAACATGTAAATATAAAGAATAACAATCTATAAAGCCGAATAAATTAAATTCCAATTATATCAAATATAAAAAAGAATTCCTTCATACCTCTCCTATCCCTCTATATAAAGAGAATGACCTCCCATTCCTCAACCTCATAAAAAATTCTCATATCCTTAAATTCACGTATATACTCATATAAATACGTACAAACACGTATAAATACAATTATACGAAACAAACAGAGACCCACCCAGACACAAAGACAGAGAACAATACACATCCATACGCAAAAAAGCGCACATAGCCAAACACATAGATACTTACATTCATAGGGAGACTCTCACACAGATAGATGCTGACGGAGACAATCAACGAAAGAGATACGGACACAGACAGACAGACAGACGGACAGACAGACAGACAGACAGACAGACAGACAGACCGACGGACGGACGGACGGACAGACAGGCAGACAGACAGACAGACAGACAGACAGACAGACAGACGCACACACGCTCAGTCAAACGCAGATATTCACGCGCGTCACAAACATAGAAAGAAGACACGTGGTCGACCCGCCTCCATGCCGTGCAACAGTCGAGAAATCAGGATCTTACCGCAATCCGATCCAGCAGCTTCACCACAAATGTTATGCAACAGGCATGCAACAGGCAATCAATTTTTCATTTGTCGTCACCTCACTGATTTTGCTAAGGCCGCGCATGAAGAACGACCCATATATTCTTGCTTGGCTTGCGCGTTGTTTGGCAACGGGACCTGGCTTGCTAGGCTTATTTGGAATCGGGGAATCGTAAGACTTACCGGAAGAATTAGATGCAGAAGGGCAAGAATCCTGGAGATTTTCTGGAATCCCGGCTCTTGCGCGCATGCAAGGCCAGAAGGCTGCCAAAAAGAAGCAGGACATCCAAGGAGGTGGCCGCACAAGCAAAACGCAGCCGAGCCCGTAACCTTTTATTTGGGTATGTTTTTCATTCTTATATACTAGTTCTTTGAGAAGAAAATATATACAAATATATACAAACATGGCAACCTTTTCAGTACATAATAAAAGCTGAACATAGGCTATATAAACTTGAAAATATTATTGGTATTTTGCATCAAGACTTGCAAATCGCCTGAATGTCTGATCATACGGAGCTTCAGCTCTCATGACTGCATTTCCATTCCATACCTTTGGCCTTAATTCGTATTTCACGCGAAAAATGTATCGATGGTTCACAGTTACCTGCGCAACTCTTGACATTAACTAAACAAATTGTGTGCGAAGTGAGCGGTGCACGCGGCGCGATTAGGTTTACTTCTTGAATGAAAAAATGAATCATATTTTGCTTTTTTGTGGAACCAATGTTCACGAACCAAACTCCATCAACGACCATGCAAAGTATTAGTTACCACCATCTTCTATTGATAACTTGACGCTTATGGTATTGCCAGCTGTTCCATGAGCACCATCCTGCCATCTCCACAACCAAGAACTCACATGACGGCAGCTTGTGTCTACAATGACTTTTCTGAAGCAGTGCGTCGAGCATGGACATCATACCACTCGGAGTTCGCAGATGGAAACCATGCTGCCACAGCCGACCTAACATGTGGGTTCGCTACTGTCGTATAAAGGTCCAAGGCATCTGCGAAGGACTGCCATTCCGCTCCGGTGATCAAATCAGTTGCGAAATCACCGAACAAGCCGGTCGCACTCTCCTTCAGCAGTTTTGCGCCATGAAGGGCGCAAGCACCGGAAGCCGTTGATCTCCTGAGGAACTCGCACAAGCTGTGACATGTGATTTTACGACAGCGAAGCCTGGCCGAGATTCAGAAAGCCGTGAGGCGACTGGCGCACGATCTTAAAGCTCTGGTAGCCCAATGCTGCCAAACGCATCAGCACAGTTTCGTCCTCTATCCTCAGCTGGACGCGCACACGCCTTTGTCCGAGAGAAGGTTCTTTTTCTGTGCGTTTATGATTTTTCCACACCGTACCAAGATGCTCTGCCGAGATGAGAGTCGGTCTGGAGGTTTCCACAATTTCGCCCAAAGAATCGAGACACATTTTTGTTGCATCTTCAACATCGATCTTCATGTAAAAAGGTGTACCCTGCTCAACGATGATGTCAGCGCAGCTCGTGGCGAGCAGCTGCACCGTGTTCGCGAACCTGGAGCGGCTTTGAGCCGGAAGCAGGTGAGATAAAACAAGTCCGTGCAGCTCTGCGATCCGAGAGAGCCGAGGAGAAGAGTGAGCTCAAGCTTCGCTTCTTAGGTCTCTATTGCAAAGAGTCGTGCGGCAAGCGAAATGATGTACATTAGCTAGGGCTCGTCAAGTTGCTTGCCGACTTTTCAGTTTGAGAACAAGCTGTGACTGCTTTCGCCCGGAGTGCTCGCAGCAAATTGTAATTGCCTCAAGGTGTCCATCAGGATGATACTGTCGACACATATATCCAAATGGTCGATCCTTAAACGGACCTTGAGAACAGCCCCCGCTGGCAGCGCTTGAACCTGTACATGGGGCCTGACGTAGCAGAAAGTCCACTGGAAAGCATATGTACACAAATGAAGCAACCCGGGCAGCTCCGCAGAAACGTAAGAATGTGATAGAATTTATTGATGACAGTTGATGACCTCAAACGACAGCTGGAATATTTCACTTTAGCATGGCCTCTTGGGTCATTTGTTCTCATGTCCGAATGCTGCATGCGAGCCAAAGATGTGCCTGTCCGCAGCGTATTTGGGCAGCTCAGCTTCTCCAGCCCGCTCGAAGTCCAAAGCATGGATTGAGCCCACAAACTCTTCGCGGCCTCGTCCTCCGGGTGCTACGATGCCCCGGTGCGTACTCCCTCAAGAGACAAGTTGCAAGACTCGATTTTCTCCTATTTTGCGGATGGAGGGATGACTTTGCCTCAATGCTGAGGTCGTGTTTCACCGACTGTCTTTACATTCCACTTGTCCCTCCACATCCCCAGGCTCCTCGAAACCCTCGATTTAAGAGCCTTTGTCCTCGGCTGATCTTGGCACTGTGCAGCTGGAGAAGGCCCCTTCGAAGTGCCGGCTCCAGTCGGCTCGCCGTGCAGTTGTACGCGAAAGGATTGGCCTGACGGGACGGGAGGGACGGGATATGGTTACCGTTGGAGCAGTGCTTGTGCTGGCATGGCATGGCATGGCATGGCTGCCTCGTAGGCCACAACTCGAGCACCCAGTGCCAAATACAGCGAACTGTCCTCAGGCGCTCGATTGCAACCAACGCTCGGGGGCCACTGTGTAATCGTCAACCATGTTTCAAAAACGGAGGCCACAGAACCTTCAATTCCCCCCTCTGATGCGCACTCGGCCCTTCACGAAGAATTCGGACCATGCTACGAGCGGGATCTGCCTTGCGTCTTTGCTTCAATGGGTACAATGGGTACTTGCTGCTCAGGTCCCGGTTAGAACCTTGTGCTACTATGATTTGATGCGTCTTGCGACCGCAGAAATGGGTGCGGCAACTCATGGAAGGACAGTGATGATTTTTCTACGGCCTGAATTTCTCATGAAGGAGCTTCTTCAGTCTGTAGCTTCCTTTGTGACCTGCCCGAGGTGCATGTCAGGTCCGTGCCGCAGCCGACTGTTTGGCACTCGGGGGACGATCAATGAACAGTCAGGCAATGAGATGGAGGCATTGAGGCAGCTGCACTAATGCAAACCCGATTCAAGGCCACCAGCTGCACCCACATCCACGACCATCGGCCGACCCGGCAACGACACCGTGTCCAGCAACCAATGGTAGCGCCTGCATCTCTATGCGAGAGAGGGGATCGGCTACCTGCACCTTCAACCTAACACACCAGTTTCGCATCCGGTTGTGTGGGCCTCCCCGTTGATAGCCAAACCAAGTAGAGCATCTGCTCTGGAAGGAGCCCGGTCAAGTGGTAGAACATTGGTCCTTCCAAATCGCATCTCTCAAGAAGCTCCTGGCCGGGCTTCAGGGAATCAAGCTCACTGGGGGGGTGTGTCCAGCTGCGTTACTGGAACAACGAAAGGAAGTATACAAGTGCAATACAAAACGGGTGCCCTCGGAGATGCCATTTGGCTCACGCATCAGCACAGCACCACTTTAATCAACACATAGCAGCAACAGCACACGACCACGACCACGCCCACGCTTGTACGACAAAGGCCCACCGAGGAAGGAGCCCTGGGAAGGTTTAGCTAGACCTGACATAATGACATGGGTGTCTACCGGGCTTTCGCACGGTCACAACTGCGGCTTCTTCTTGCTACGACGACGGCGACGACGACGACTACCGCTGCCGCTGATGCTACTGCTGCTACTGCTTCTACCACTACGACGACGACTACTACAACGACGACTACTACAACGACGACTACTAC